AATCTGTCTGTTAATTCTAATGCCAATTTTTGTGGATAAATACGAGATCGTCGACGTGATTCCTTCAATGCGGTTACTCTCACTAGATTCTTACACGCCTTTTTCTCATCGTAAAATCCGAGGACCACTTGTAACCGTTTATGGATGCCTTTCCCCTTAACCTCAGAGTGCAGGAAAGGTCCGGAATTCCTGTAGGGGGCTATCGTATTTCTTAGAGCCGAAAAATCTGCAAGCTATAGGTCTCTTGACCTATGTGGACGAGATCATGACATGACCCGTTTCTTTTACCGGTTTTAGTATCACGCACAGGTCCGTCATGAACATAGCCATGGAACCGTATAGTGAATGCAATCTACTGAACTCAGAATACACCGCCGAGGTTTTCTCAAGCGCTCGACGTCCATGTTTGTGGAAAAGTTTGGTCTTATTAATCAGGTTTCTGTGACGTCTCCTCAGTGTAGCATCAATGGCCCGAAATCTGTGTAGTTAGAAAATTGTTTGAGGAGTCGTCCTATTTGTTTTGATTACCACTCATCTACCGTATTATACGAGTAATCGTAGTATATTTAGTTATTTTCCTCATCAGTTTTCATAAAAATGATGTACGGGCAAGTAACAATCAACCGTTTGGAATGTATGTTCGTTTCAAGTGACGTGATCATATTTTCTGTACGCAGAGGACACTCACTGTATGCAGCATAAGTCAAGTGTTACTGTTAAGTGACTCCTCCTTGGAAAGGTGCATTAGAAAGTATGCGAACTCGGAAAATGGAAAAGTACGATTTGCGTGCATCTTAGAAAAACGAAATAAAGGATCTTGTATTCGCCAACTGTGAAAAATTTCTCGCTATCCAAAACTTAAAAAATGATTGTCTAAGCCATCGAAATGAGCATGGCACTTTGTTCCTGCCTGTCCTCTTCACTGCTACTTCTAACACGAAAACTCTTCTTTCGTCCTAATTTAGGGTCACAGTCTTACTCTTTTCGTTCGTCTAAATTCAGCTTTGATCTTACCCAACTCTGCGTTAGCCATAGACACTTACTCTATTACCTACTGTGTGCCCACCTGATCCGATG